TGCACATGAACTTAATTAATTCTCTTAGGCTGTTTGCACCTGATGAGAAGTCAACGAAATAAATGGCGCTATCATCTCATTCTCTACAAACTTTGTTACTGCTTTATTGAAATAGCTCTTTTGGAAGTTATCTAGTAGCCACAGTGCTTACTAAACAAGTTTAGAATTAGAATTGTCTTACTTTCTTTCCAGACTCCAACTTATTTCATTCACGCAACATTTTTCTTCCGGGAGGCCTAATTATATCACTGGGTTACCTAGTGTTTCAGTGGTCGAAATGTATCTTATTTGCCCCAAAGCATATTTTTTGACTTGACTAATTACATCTCCGAATCGTAGTTTGTACTCAAGTCGATTTTCATCAAATGAGATTTGACCTACTACTATGGGTGCGTCGGTGGCATGACGGTGGACCACGCCTCATGTGGTTCAGGGTTTGATCTCCGGCCGACGCACTCCATCACCTTACTAAGACAGTAATTAGGCTAGAAAAAAAAGAAGGTCGGGTATGAGGTTATCACTGCTATCGAGACGTCAAGCCTCGTGCTTGAAGCCGTATGTTCCACAGGGAATGTGAAAGAATTTTAAAAAATAAATAAATAACTACCACTATGGATTTTCGAAGAAAATGCAAGAAAAGTATAGAAGGTTATTAGAATATGTTTCCGATAGGACAAAAGTAACTCAGAATATATTATTACCGATTATTAATTCACCTGAAGATTCTCACCCATCCCATCCTAGTAAATACTCTGTATTAGAACATTCCAAGAATTTTGCGATATTTATTTAGACACTTTTCAGAAGGGAGTTATTATTATTATTATTACAAACAAACCTTTTGATCGGTTCAATATGTTTATAGTGAAATTGATAATATCTGTTACTACTTACTTATTTCTTGCAAACTCTACTAAGTTTATTGAATTGAATTTCAGATTTTCCCGTGGACTGATTGGACCGAACGGCTTGGTCTCAGGTTGACGTGTCGGCTTCTTATGCAGATGCTTTGACCATTTCTGGACATGTAATAAGAATTTAATTTGTGAATGGTGACTAGCAGTGGAATCCAGGATGCGCATTTCTTCCTGTTTGGAACTCATCAACTAGATGTCCTTGCATCTGCATGACAACCTGGAACCGAGCACTTTGGTTCAATTAATCGACGGGAAAATTTAAAATTCAATCAAATAATTATTATGACCCGTTGAACTGGAGGTGGCTCTCATGGCCCAAGTGGTCCATTGGATAACACTTTACCGTTTGAAACTATGGGCACTGGATTCGAGCCCCCTATAGTGGGGAAATCATTACTCACCGATGAATGCAGTTGACGAGTCCTAAATAGGCCAAAATCGGCATCCTGCATTCCACTGCTAGTCACCATCCACTAATTATACACTAAGTTTACGGTCAATATGTCGAGATCGGTAGATTACTGCTACCTCTGACTATATGACATTAACTAATGCTGATCTCCTCCGAAACGGCAGTGCATAGAATGTTTGTAATCCAATGAAATGATATGGAATGTCATAAAAAAATCTCTCCCCATTTATTCAAAGCTTTTTTCCGAAAATCTTATTCAATTACACTTTGAACTGTTTAACTTCAAATGATCCTAAAATATTATCTTTATTATCCTGAATAAAAATGTCCTTTGAAAAACAAAAAGGGATTTAATTTTATCGACTTATAAATGAAAGGTGAAGAGATTATCCCTAATTTTAGACAAAATCTTTTTCTCTGTGCGTAATTGTGACTCATCTTTAACGAAAATATATTTATGTCATTATTCATGTAAGCTATTATGAAGTTTGTACCAAGGTTTCGTGGTAGTTGGCACTTACTTGTCACCAAGGCGAATCAGCAACCTTGAAGGAACTAATGTCCTTTTTGAGGTTCAAACCAGCGTCATCCATTGCTCTAGACAGGGACGCTATTAGTTACTCTTGTCCAATCAAAGTATTAACTACAGTCCAAGAGGAGCGAGTCAATCGCGAGCCTGAATAGCTCAGTGACAACGTCTCGAAATGCCTCGCAGCACTGGGTGACGCCGGTTCGAATCTCGGAAGGGAGATGAGTTTCTTCAAGGTTACGGACGCGCCCTGCGAGATCCGAGTATTCCGAAGTTCCCGTAAGATTTGCTGAAGTTAGTGGTAGCTTCATTATTTATTATTGTGTCATGCACATACTTTTTTTATAGACCAAGTCGAATAGCTATTAGCATTAAAAAGGCATACAGAAACACACTTCCATACATATTATTCAGAGAATACGTCATATCAAATCTGTTTCAAATCATGCATTAAAGTACAGTAGGAAAGCGTATAGGAATAAAATATTTTCATCTTTGGTAATTACTTTTATAATAATCATAGGCTGTCATATGGTAAGTATTATTAGTCAATATAAGTAGCTTAATTCCCTTCGAGTTCACAAGTAGTACTTACTGAACGGACAGAAGTGATACGAGCATTGGTCAACAGTCTTTATACTGGTTTGAGACAATGGTAGTGAGAGAAACATCTGATGGAACTCAGCTCAGAAATTTGATTTATTTCTTCAGCCTACATCAGTTCTCACTAGGTATTTGCGTGAACACTTAATTATGGGGTTAATTTTGTTATTTGAAAATTAAACAGTTTCTCTAAGAAATCAAAATTATTGAAATCACCATATATTTTCTGCAACATATCATAAAAAGCAATCAGGAAGGCTAGCAGTGTAGTAAGAGAATTTCAACCTTTGACTGGTCTGTGGACATTGAAAACTACTCACATCAACCAACAGTAGTTGATTACTTTGTTGTTTTTTTCATTCCTTTGCGAATCCACGGGGACGCAGGGCTTCAGGTTATATTTTATTTTGTTTAATTTGGTCCACCGGGTCTTTCAGCCTAGAAAGCTTGTCCCTGTCTGAATGAGTTTGTAGGTTTGAATGTCATCGCAATATCTGCTTTTTTTTGAGAATCCTACATAGAGCTTCAGATGTCCCCTTTTTATATGATAAAACTGTAGATGCCTTATACTCTCTCTCTCTCTCCAAAGAAGACACGGAGGAGATATTATGAGATGTAGATGAGAACTTATGGGAAATTGTGGACTGCAGATAACATAATGGTATATCGATATGATGATTAAGTCTTATGTCTCACTAGAAACCCATGGGATTACTTTCATATGATTCGGTACTGAAGTCAAGCTTTCAGAATCATAGAATAATTATGCATTGAAATCGGCATCTTTCATGACAACATTAGTTATGTTATCCAGTCTTATCCAGTAACATGAATTCCATTAGCAGTCGCGTACCTAATTTCTGTCACTTGAAGTTTTGAATAGGAAATCACTACAACTACTACTAGAACTACTACCACTTAAATTAAATCAGTTAACTTGAAATATGTGCAGGATCCTAAGTGACTTCAATGTCAGTCTTACCACAGAAATATTAATCAAAAGCCTACTGAAACTTAGGCAGTGCTTATCATTTTCTTTTGCTTCGGTTTCGTACTAATTAGTAGTGTAAAGTCATAATCCGTGTAGTAGACAATATTTTCAACATCCAATCCTTCTTTACTTGAATTTTAGATTTTCCCGTCGGTTGACTGGACGCAAGTGATCAGTCTCAGGTTGACATGTCGGGTTCTTTTGCAAGTGCTTCGACGATGTCTGGGCATGTAATTTGAATTTAATTGGTCGACGGCGGCTAGCAGCGGAATCCAGCCAGGATGCGCATTTCGTCCTATTTGTGACTCGTCATCTGGATGTACCAGCATTCCCAGTAAGTGATAACGGGCTCGAGACTCATTGGTGGGAACATCATCACTGACTGGGAATTCAGATACATCGAGATGGTGAGTGCCAGATAGGACGAAATGTGCATCCTGGCTGGATTCCGCTGCTAGCCACCGTCCACCAATTAAATCTAATCCTTCTAGCTGATATATTAACGAAATGAACTTAATGCTGTCTTTTCAGAAACATCCTTCAATGAGTCACACTTCTAAAACCCCAAAAAGAATCACAGGTAAATGAGAGAACTTCTGTTTATGTAATGGTTATTGATATAAATTGAAATCTCAGAAAGGTGACTTTTTGAATGGACTGTTTATTTATACAAGTTACACTTATTTAGATATTTCGCCTATCTCTGTAATGATCATACACATTTCCAATATACTGTGTATCATTAATTTGATATTTGTAATATGTTGGTTTTTTTTACCTTTAAAACTCGCCTTTGTCCTAGTCTAATCTCAAACTGTAATATTTCTCTTTGTGGTTATGTGTACATTGACAATGTGTAGTGTAAAGATATGAGTTTGTATGAGTAGGTGAAGGTGATTCCTATCTATGACTTTCTGTGGGAAGCGTTGGTGTGTGACTTTGGTGTACAGAGCTGTCAATTTCACTGCGGTGGGAATATTCTTCCTGATTCTAAGGTACCTAGTACAGTTGAACTCTGGGTAACTAATTTTGCCTTACAGTGCTTGTTCCTTATTTAGAAACGTACACTGCCTGTATAGGTTGCTGCCTCATGGTACTGTTGAAGTACATTTGAGTTTGGTATTATTATTGCTTAATAGGAACCCCCTAAATACTGAAAATTATTCGTCTTTTCTTTGAGTTTGGAACATTCCGTGATAGTAAGTGTTTCAGCGAGGCTTCTCTAGCTATACAATAGAACGTGTGCGTCGGTGGCACAGTGGTAGAATGCTCGCCAACCACGCAAGTAATTCAGGATTCGAGTTCCGGCCACCGAAGCACTTCTTTACTTCGCTGGCTAAGCTAGAAATAAGACTGGTAAGGAGGGAAGGTTGGAAATGAGGCTAGTAACCTTACTTCGTAAAAATAAACATCACTGCTATCGAAACTTCAAGCCACTGAGGGTGGTAAGGGAATAAAAAGAAGTATTACTAAGAATTTATTTAGGTTGATGATATAAATAGGATACGCAAAATAAACTGTTTCCCAAAGGGTAACAAAATAACTTACATGCTCATCAATAAATGCGACAGTGTGGTTACTGGCTTTATGACTCGAATTAAATTTCCCATATATAGATAAATTTTTAAGAGTACTTGTTCGAGAACTCATTATTATTATTTATTTATTTATTTTTTTGGCGTCTTATAAATGTTTTATATTTTTAATTCATTTAGCAATGAAAACAAAACATGTTATTGGTGTGAAGATTTTGGCAAAAATTAATAAACACTTCTGACAAACACTTAGTGTTGAATAAATCCACTGCATCATTTAATTGGATGACAAACGTTCGCTAAAATTGACCAATAGTATTTCTTCGTTCCTACTAACACTGACATAAATTTGAAGATTTCTCCTATTGTATTTTCTGCGGGTCATATTTTCAAAGGCAGATGTGTGTATATGAATAATTATTGGGAAAACTGGAGCTACCTATAATCTAACTTACTGATTTCAATAACTTATTTATGGAAATAAATGTGCGTCGAAGATTCAGTGTTAGAATACTCACCAACTATCCAGGTGGTTTGGGATTCGATCCTCGGTCGACACACTCCTCAGCTTTACTTTGCCAGTAGTAAGCTTAGTGAACAGGGAAGGTTAGGAGTGTGGCTAGCAACCCTCACCCCTTGTAAAAGACATCATTCTTAGTGAAACTTCAACACTAAAAGCTTGAAGCCGTATATTTCACGCTGAAATTAAAGGATTAAACTAAACTAAATTCCATAAGTAAATCAAAAAATGTTGCCAGTTTGATTAATGTAGAATTATTAGGGTAGTAATGAACGTATTGTTAGGTAGTTAAGTCGCAGCTCACAGAAATTCACTGAAATTTATAAGACATCCTGACTGGTTGGGGTCCTCGGGGCGGTAAAACCAGTGACTGGAGACAATGGGTGATATGGCTCAAAATCGTTCTCAGTGGCGCAGATGTATCCACCCCTTGTGACTTATGATTTCCAATGAAGCCATATTGTTCTTCGTTATTACTATTCCTTTGTCTCACACCTCTGTTCACTATCTCTATTATGCATTTATTCTACTTTCTTCTCTCGCTTTGTGTGCTAGGTGGAGTGTGGCATCTTGAACTGGTGCACATCGGTGCTAAGTTCTAAGTCGAGAAAAGACAGACAGATAATAAAGACGTTGCCACTCATGAAGTATTTCTATTACCCTAAGTTTTGGGGGGGGGTGGTACATCGGGCCTCAACAATACATCTGCGTTTCTTTTTCTCTTTTTAATGTCATCTTTAGCTAGCTTCACAACTGTCCATAGGCTTTCATCTTCACCTTTTACGATCTCCTAAATGCCACTCTTAGACCTATTCCTGACTCGTTGTTTTCCATTCCGCTTCTACTCTAAGACCTGCACCGCCTATGATGTCACTCAACGGTCTAGTCAGAGTATGTCCAATTTATCGTTATTCCTTTATGATTATTTATTGGGAGGTACATTTTCGCTTGACTTGTTAACAAATGTTCTTACCTCTAATTGTTTCTGACTCATCATCTTGTCTTCACTATCAAGTATATTCAGCCTAATAGAAATGCTTAAGGTGGTGGGCGCTCCAAGTATTTAAACCACATACATGAAGTTACTTCACGTTTGTGTTGAAGGTTCAGATCATGTTCCTTACGCTGATTACAGATGACCTCCACACTAACTTCCTGCTAATGAAGTTCCGTTTCGCTTTCCCGATGTTGATTTCAACATTGTTATCTGTGCTATATATAGGTGAAAGGATGTTTCCTAGATCAGTTAATGAAGGGAATTCCTTCATATTTCCCCCTGCTACTAGTGACTGATGCTTGATTTTCATCGCCTCGTCACCAACTTATTGGTTGTCTCCAGTAAATCTAGTTTGTTTGATATTACATATAAATCGTACGCCTAGTCCAAATCTTTTGTAGAGCCTTTTTGTCCGTCAAGTGTATTCCTATATTTCGATTGGACACTAGTAACTAGTGTGACGTGTCTAGTCTTGTCTTTGGTGCAGACTGAATTACATCAGTCAGGTATGCAATGTGGCCACCACTCTAGGTAGCTCGCCATCATGGTGCACATGGATTTGATGATATTAGATGGTTGAAGGCAGTTGGCAAGAAGCCTTGGACGTGGATTCGAATCTCAGAAGGGACATGAGTTCCCCCAAGGTTGCAGAGACGCCTTGCTGACTAGTGATTGCCAACAGGCGCGAAACCCAGGTTAGGCAAGGCTTCCTGCCAATCGCCTCCAACTATCGAATGTATCTCTGACTTCTCTCAATTCACGACTTGCTGCATGGTCCAGTTCACGACAGTCAGTAACACTATCGGTGACAGTAGTAGCCTGTGACGACACGGCCCAATTTTCCTTTGTGAATCGCTTGACGTGTGACTTCATCATATAGCAGGTAATTTCTTTGAAGTGCTTGGAAGTTTTTCAAATCATTCATAGTCTTTTATACAGTACTAAGAACTACTTAATAATTTCTTCCGTATGAGACTATATTAATAATAACCATTTAGAATGGCGTAACAATACGCTGTGCTTCAAACGATTTAATCAATTCAGCCACCAAAGGCTTAAGGCTTTGTAGTTTTCTTCGTCCAAAGCGTAGTTAGTAGATGCATTAGTTTTTGGCGAATAAAAAAGTCATTTACACAGGATACTCAGTTACGTCATGTTTTTTTCAGTCACTAGCTGTAAGTAGTCATTTAACTTTTTTCGCAGAAAAATATGTAAAACCTATGGCGTAAATTGGTGTGGTACATTTTGGAAGATAAATAAACCAAATGATTAAACTAATCCCTAGAATAATTACTACTCTCTAAGCCCTAAAACCATAGAAAAATTATGCCTTGATTCTTTTTGACTGGATACAAGGTAGTAACACTAATTTCGTTAGTTTAGTCCTTCATTTGGTACAGGTTGATTAAATTAACTCATAGAATTCAGTCTGTGCCAGTTTAAGGGCCAGAAGTGTAACATTATTTACTACATTGTATCAAATCAATGTTCCCACTACAGTCGTATATGAGGTTGATTGAGAAGCTAAAATACCTCACTGGTAATGTCTCTGGTCCTCAAAACACCTACTGACAATATTCCTACTAAAATTTACAAAAGAATCTTTACTGAACAAAGAGTACTCTTTTCGATAACTTCATCATCAGGCTCTACAGTTATATAAACATTATAGTGAATGAATGAATTAGTGTTATTAACAACATTATCGTTGTTTAAATAATATCAAATCAATACTAATATCTGCGGATTACAGTTCAATAGCATCAAAATAAAGTGAGCTGAATGCCAGAAAAATCAGGAAGGATAATATCACAAATTCATGAATTTCTAGGCTTTACTGAAAACCGGCCAGGGCAGTAATAGTGGATAGCTAGACTTGCTTCTTTTGCACACCGAGCACTGGTTGTTTCAAGCGAATCGCGGTATCCTCTGCTATATGGAGTATGCGGCACCTCGATGTTTTTGACAATCTATTTGGTCGGTAGCCGGTAGATGATAGGGAAGGATTCTTCAACACTGGCTTAGTGGCCGGCTGGTTTGCACCAGATGGTCTAATATTGAACTGTTGATGGTTTTCAACACATTTTTACTTAGCCATACTGAGAGGTGTTCTCGAGCAGGCAGGATAAATCAAGTTCCTAGAGCGATGGCCAATATAACTTGCTCTACAAGCAGCACATTTTAATTGGTAGCTACAATTTGCATTAGCTAGTCTAGGTACTCCATATTTCAATCGACGAATCACCATTGGTCGTGTGGAGAATTAGACGTGTAGTTCGCCAGCATTAAAAATTTCTTCGTAAATATCCTTATTCTTATGACTAAGAATTAGTGATGGATCAGTGGATTACAAGCGAATAGACTGTTGACGAAAATTCTCAATTCTACTAAGGATGTTTATCCCTTCCTAATGACTTGTATTTGTCTCCTTTCAATTACATCGAAAGGATAAAATGAAGTGAATAAATTAGAAAGAAATTCTGTCAACGAAAATAGCCAAACCCCAACCATGGCAACTTTTATCAGAAAACTTGTAATTAGCCAGCGGATGTTCTGGGATCACATGTTTCCCAAAATTATATGGTATATAAAATCAGGACAGAAAAATGATAAATCATAAGGGGAATTAGGCTGAGAAGCTGCAATTTCATATTCTTCTTTACTCCAGTAAATAACAATAATTAAAAAGCATTTTTTTGTTTCAACAAGAATAAAATTTAATGGTGAAATGAATTACTTCAGATTTTCTATATATAAGCTTTTGTATTCCCCAATGAATGAAAAGCAAAACTATATATTGTTTTTACTGCTGCTAACAGCTTTATCAAAGTAATATTAGTAAACCAGAATTTAAAAAATCCCAGTTTATATCCAGCAACTTGATCACTCACTGGTCCCCAGCATGAGGTCACTTGGTGAAATATCTATTTAAGAGGATTCAACGTATTTGTACGGCTGATAGTATAGACAAAGAAAACGGAGTATTGATGGATACTCTTTTTGAAAACGGATATCCTTTAAAATTTTTAAACAGGTGTAGAAGTCAATTAGTCTCTAAACCTACAATCCATACCGCCACAAAGAAAAAATGTATTCATCAAATTACCATATAACGGGAAAATAAACAGTAGAGTTTTGAGACAAAGTTTGAATTCAATCATCCGCAGAACCTATAAGGCAGCCCAGCTTGCAATCGTCGAAAAAGCTAAAAATATGCTCAACTCTACACCTCAAAAGTGCACAAGCGGTTGTGTCGCATCTCACACGATTTACCAATTTTCGTGTGTGTGTGTGTGGTTACACATACATAGGGAGGAGTATTTGCGCTTTGCATGTGAGGGTGGGAGAGTATATCCCAAAAATGTCTAGAAAAACAGATGCATTGTGACAAGCCAATAGACGCAGGTGTCAGACTACCAACTTCGTCTATAGCTAAACGTCTAATCAAGATGAACCATAAGACTGACGTTAACTCAGCCTTTAAGGTCATCTATAAAAACGGTCAAGGGCGTTTGCTGAAATACGCTGAGGCTATAGCTATTCATAGACTTAAGCCCCCTTTGTGTATTCAAAAACAGTTTGTTATTACTCTTAACCTACCTTGGTAATCCTCATTTGATTGGATTACCAAAGGTTTGTGTTAATTATTCTTAATTCCTTTTTCTCTCACTTAGGTTTAATTTGACCTTTTTATATATATTGACTTGACAAGTAA